TGTTGGCCAGTCACTTACATAGTTGTCGAGTTGTTGAAAGTTTGATTTTTTTTTTTTACCAGCGTTTTGCCATTGCCGTTGATTTTGCACTCGCAATTGGCTACAAATTGGCTTGTCGAATTAGGAGAGAACTCTGCAAGGGGGGAGTCTAAATCAGGACTCAGCCTTGCGCTAGATTTCAGCAGCAAGTGGTTCCTAATTGAATGCGAACTGCTGCAGGCGCAGTTCGGGGGAGCTCGCTTTCCCAGATATAATTACGCTTTCCATGTACACTGGTATCTCGTCCTGCTCGTAGGATGAATTATGCAGATGCCTCTGCAGCTGCTCCTGCTTTTGTCTGGCTGTTCATTTCACTGCAGTCTTTTATGGCTGGCAAGGAGGATTGAAAGGCGGTGTCGGCGGGGAAAGTGAAACTGTAGCTCTCGCCCCAGTGAAAAGCGCTTTTCAATTTGGCGGCTTGCCTCAACACAACTCAAACCATCTCAATTGGGCTCTCGTTTCGGCTTTCACTTTTCAATTAATTCTTGCGGCAGCCGCGCTGTGGTATTTTATGTAAGCGCTCCCTGGTTGCTATTCCGAATGCCCTGAGGTTGGCCAAATGGGTCGGTTAGTTCGACCAGACAGCATGGAAATTGTAGGTTCTCCTCGGAAATTATTTAAGGCATATTCTTGACTTTGATAACATTTCTGACTTTAACGTTGCTTCTAAATTACCGTTCTGATATGCATAATTGATTTAATTATTACCATTTGTCTTTCAGGATGATGTCTTGAAGAGTGTAGCTCAAAATATTTAATAAATATTCACAATCCTTTCTTATATTTTAACCTATTCCAGATTGTCGAGAGACAAAAACAACTGTATGGCTTGTTCTACTATTTTTTTTGGCTGTGTTTTTTTACGTGGGTCAGTGCGGAATTTGGCTGGCGCTCAGAAAAGTGCCAGGTCACGTGACTATTTGGGACAATTGCAGGAGGTAGAGTCCCGGGAAAAGCTGGCCAGGCCCAGAACAACAATGTGGGGCGAGTGTGTCGATTAGCCAAATTGAAAATGACAAGCTAGAAGCGTCTGAATCTGGGCCAGGGAGCAGCTTATTATGCTGAAGATGATGCAGTGAAGGGACGGGAGAAAACCAACTAGAAAGTGGGTCAAATGCTTAGCGAATGGCTGCCAATAAGGGCAAAAGTATATATATTGGTAAATCTCAACTTTCAGCGGTCCACTCGGCGTATGAGTAATTTTCTCTAAGCGGTTTACAGCGCACGGTCCGCACTCCGCAGTATTTTCAGTCCGACCAACCCGGGTTCAATGCAAAATCCGATATACGATTTATTTTGGTTAACTGCACATCCAATAAACTACGGAAAATCGGAACAAGGGGACCGCTGCAAGGGGAGGGGCTCGGAGGGGCTTAATCGGGGGCAACACGAGGAGACGATGTGTAAATATTGACTTTTGAAAATCGAAATCGTCAAAATGTTCATAAAAGTCCAATGGAAACCGTTCAGCGCAGCAAATATTTGGCTCTGCGCACAGACATGACTCCACATCCTGCCCACTTACTCGCATCAGGATTTTTTGGCTCTGTCCTGCGGATGTGCATGACCATAGCAACTCTGACCAGCAACCAGCAACAGTGATTCCGCCTGCATTCACTCCCTTTTCCTTTCTGACTTTAGCTTGCTGAAAATCAGAGCGTATAAATAATGAAAAGCGATTTAATTTTTAACAGCTGCTGTTTGTGTGTTGTGGAATAGAGTGGCGATGGCATCGCGTGTTTGGCTCGGCTTCTTTTCTCCTCGCATGCTGACCATCTCCACCCAATTCAATCACTCCATCCCATTTCAAACTCGAGTACAAACTATTCTGGAACGACTTAAATGCTCAAATTTCACACTTCATTTGGGCACGACTTGCATCCAGGGCTGGGCTTTAAAGGGATTTGTATGGCGTTTCCTTGATCAAATTTCCGGACATCAATTATTAACATTCACAGGTGGTTGCGGTTTGTGGCCAGCAGGTCAAAAGTATGGCGTTTCATTCACTATTTTGTGTTTCAGAATTTTAATTTTATAATATCTTGAAACACGCTGAGCCTGAAACTGTAGCGAAACCTATTTAATAATCCATTTTTTCTTTTTATATTTTCCACTGACGGATTTTAATTATTAATTATTCAAAATCATGCGGCGTGAAATTAACCAGTTGTCCTTTCTACTTTGACGTAAGTATTTTCTGTTTCCCTCTCCACATTCCTTCTTCTTGTTTCACGGTGTGCTTTAAGCTGACACTTAATGAATGCTGCGGTTTAAGCCGCAACATTGACTATTTTAGCAAACATTATAATATAAATAATGCAATTTTTGCGATTAAATATAACGTTTAATACACTTTTTTTAATATATGCTTTGAAAGATTTAATTTTCGGTAGTTTAAATAAAGTTTAAATTGAACGAAGAGATATTGTATTTTTTTCGAAAAACAAATATTTTCTGTATTAAAGCCGGGTTTTAATTTAAAATGGCTTAACACCGGCAAAAATTGTTCTGTGCAGTATAAAAAGCTGCTACATCTTTCAGTTCATGTTACCTTACCCTTAACTCTTTAACTTTTATGACCTTTGGGGCCCAGTTACATTTCCCCCAACCACGTTTGTCTCCTAACATATTCCCTGCAGTTGTAAGCTGGCTTTTAGGGGCTTAATGTCTGAGCCATAAACGAAAGTTCTGCCATTATGCAATTTTCGTTTTATAATTTAATAGCATAGTTGATTGAATCAGAGGATGCACCTGGACTGCTTACAAATATGACAGAATGCTTTGTCTCTGGGCCGCCTTAATTGGTAATAAAACTTGGTCGTTAATGTAAGTGATTCATTTTCAAGTTTAAGGCGAGGAACAACTTAGTTGCCAGTTCTCTTAGCTCCTCGATGGAATATAGCTTACAGCAAAGTTGACATTCATTATGGCGGGGCGAAAGAAGATGGAGACAAGAGCGGAAGCTGCTTGGTTCGCCATTTTCTTCCATTTCCGCCATCATCGCTGGGACAATGGCAACAGGCGAGGCGCTGCGCTGAATTAGCACTGGGGAGTGTCCTGTTTTGTCCTGTCCAGTCCTGGAACTCTGGAGCTCCTCTGGCCCTCCACCCCTGGTTGCCCCCTGGCTCATCAAAAACTGTTTGAAATGAGTTTTTATTAGTTTTTGTTGCTGCCATTTTTTGCTGTCACTTGTTGTTTCCTATCTTTTTCTCCACCCTACATTTTTGTGTGAGTGTGTGTTGGTTTTTTTTTGTGTGCGTGTTAATTAAATTTCAAATGCACAAAAGAACTAACGACACGTTGAGAGGAGAAATTGCGAAAGGAAAGGGAATGGATGGCGGTCGAACAATACCAAACCCATTCTCGCTTTAATTGCATCCATGTGTGTAAATGAAAATGTTTGCTGAGCAGTGCTCTTCCTCATATTTTCCTACCTCCTCCCACCCTGTGTTTTGGCATTTTTGCATTTAAGCAACAGAAATGGCAACAACAAGGAGAAGTGCAAGTTCAGCGGCAAAGATTTAGTCGGACCAACGCCAAGTTTCTGGCCATAAACTTTATTCCGGGGCTTCCGAGTAAAATGTTTTCCTCTTTGCAGCCTCTATTTTTAATCACTTTTTTTTTTGGTTTTTGTACTTGTTTGGCAGCATTTGTTTTGTTATGGTTTTAATTAAGTTTTAACTGGCGCTGGACCAGAAATGCACCACACCAGATCTGAGCTCCAAGCTGCAGAAGTTGGTATAATTCACACACAACACACAGAGAAATATCTGTATTTTCTAAAGCTGATGAACAATTGGTTAATTAAATTATTTAAGGAGATAAAAGTGCAATCATGCCAAGTGTCTAAGTTAATCAAAAAATAAATTCTTTATTTCATAAACAACTTGTATAAACATAAAAACAGTAAGAAACTTGGTTCTCTTAAAAACTATAGATATAAAACGGTAAATATAACATTTAAAAGTCTTATAAAGAAGATGAAAACAGTGTTTGTATTATTTTCAGCTTAATAAATTTTGCATATTTGTTTTCTCCGGCTTGTTACTGTGCATAAGCCAGGAAAACACACAATGGAAACCGAAACCTTGCCCATGAGGCTGCTTTCAGCTTTCGGTTTCGCTTGGCCTGGCCGAATCTTTTGCCAGTTTTGAGGATGGCAACGGGCTTTTCCGAGGCTGCTGCTGCTGCTGACAGGCGCCGGGGAAATTGATTAATGTGACTTGTAAATGGCGCCAGATGGGAAATGGAATGGGAGTGCTAGAGGGGAGAGGAACCGATGTAAGCGGCCTAGAAATGTTTCATGAAAACTGCAGCAATTTGTGGCAGAAATTGTTGCGCCAAAAGTGTCACATGCAATTGTGCCCAAAGTCAGACGCATGTTCAGAACACTCTCAAATGGTAACATCTATTAGCAAGGTCCTGCAGCCTTGGGCTGCGTTTAGTTAATAGCCTACACCATAATTAACAGCCGCCAAGCAAACAATTTCAATGTTTACTTTCGAATGAAAAATGATTTTTGGCCTTTGTGGCCTGTTTCACGTGGCAAGGCATCATAAATTTCCGACCCGCTCTCTCTGTTCAAAAATTTCATTATGCGAAAGTGAGTTCCGTTAATGTGTTTTCCCAGAAGGCGGCGAAGAAAATGTTGTAAACTCAAGAGGAACCCAGTAGAGGCAGACATGCCAAATTATGCACAAGACAAACAGTAAACATTAACGACACGAGAAAGTCTGGAGGATCGCAAAAGTAAGAAATCATAATGAAATACGTGACAGATAATAACTAACATTTTCTAACTAATATTTAATTATAACTTTTAATATTTACATTAAATATTCAAAAAAAAAATGTTTTCTTATTTCAGCAAACCATTTTGATGATACTGACAATAATTTTTTAAGCATATAGTATAATAACTTACTAATAGTTTTTACCTTAATTACAGAATTTATAATAATAAATTGCTTATTAGTTTCGGTTAGCAGCTTTCTCTAAACATCGATAATTGAGCTGATCTTTGTGCACCGAAGCCTGGTAAAAGAACAATAAGCTTACTGAATTATATATTGTGTTACTATTTTTATACAGCTGCACTTGTATTACCTTTTCATGAGAATCCGAAGCGTTCCTCGCTTAAGGACAAAGAGGACAAAAATCACTATACCCAAGGACAAATGGTAGTAGTAGGCAACCCAAAGAATCTTTTGCAAAAGTGCGTTGTCTCGAAAAAAATAGGGAACTAGATCCAGAATCCAAGTAACGCCCATCATGACACCAATTCGCAGAAAATTTAGGTAACTGTAATTTGAATGTACTTTGCATGAAAACTGTCATTTATGAATTATAAAGTACATTATTCTTACGTCTGGCTCGCCGAGCTCAGCTTAATCCTAATTGATTTTTTCACTTTTCTTTCCGTTTTCAACATGTGAATGATCGTGAGTATAAGCATAACCCCATTGATGTTGCACAGGACCAGGATTGGTCCAATAAAAAAGATTAACATACCAAAGCTATTACCTGAAAATAAAAAGTGAAATAAATTTTATACCAGAAAAAAACATACCTCAATTTGTGCGCTGTTAGTTTTTTAAAACATAGGAAAAAGTAGCAAAATTTGGTAAGCCGATTGATATAATCTTGCAGCTGTAATATATATATATAATTAAGCTCAATATTTGTAAACAACAACGAAAGATTTTAAGCACGTACCTGCCGTAGAAGCGAATGAAAAATGTTTTGGTAAATCGACATGGCTTATAAGTATTTTCATATATACCTACCCGTCAATGTTTAAATTATTGCGAAAGTGTCACTTAGATAGATTAAACCGCAGGTTTTTCTTATGTATACAAAAGGGAACTTTCGATACGATAAATAATTATTTAATAAAAGCGTGTTAAGCACACCAAAGTTACTCTTGATCTTCTATTCCCAAAATTTGAAAAAAAACCTGTTCGGAAAGAGGACCAGTTGGCAGCACTTTTCCAATCAAAACTTACGATACAGCCAGCACTGAGCGAAACCAACAGACGGGGTCCATTTAAGTGTAGACAAATCATTGCCCCATATCCGATCGGTCAGAATAATGGCAGCGGTCAGGAAAGTCGTTGAGCCCCAAACATAGACGGAGTAGGCACGAAACCGATAACGAGGATCATTTAGACTCATCGACATCAATCCCTTTCTCGTGCGATGGCTGACAACAAAAAGCCAGAGAATTGCACCCACTGCAAAGAAATATCTAGTGTAACCTGCAAGAAACCATTAATGGTTTGATAGAACGTATTAAATTTCAATAACTTACCTGCTATAGTGCAGGTCTCGTTCAATAAATTCGCATATTTAGTCAAAATCCACATAAGGTGGTGCATGGTCACGCAGATTACATAGCAAACAAAGTTCATATTCCGGTTTCTATTTATGAGATACACAGCGATCGTAAGGATATTGCATACCAGCGAAATCACGACGACTTGTGATAAAGAATCATATATTAAAAAATTTCAAACGTTTTGGCTTTTCATTAGATTTATACCTACTTGTAATTTCTAGAATCGCCTCCTGCCAATTTTCGTACTCATGGCACTTGTGTCTTACAACTAATACACGCTTTGAAAGGTCTGATGAAAACTGATTGACATAGAGGCAGAAAGACTCTTTGTTCATGGTAAAGTTTTGAGATTGAATACCGAAATTTCCATCCTAAAGAGCTCTAATTAGACTAGGAAACCAATGGAAAATTGAAAGGCAAACCTCGAACATTATGAGCTCATCATCTGACAGGTCAAAAAACTCGTCGCAAAATCCAAACCGATCACTTTGCAAGGCAATATTGGTGATAGAAATCCGCTTCTCCATCGTTTCTTCTTTTGGGAAAATATTGACATATGGTTGGAACTCAGCAAGCTCCTTCTTCACTTTATCACTGCACTCGCCGTTTTCCGATATTTGATTTCGTGGGCAGCAGACTCGGATACAGGGTCTCAGTTTACAGACACAGGCTCTTAGATGTCTTTTCACACGCCTCTCGTTTCCGCCCACCAGCTGCTCAAAGTCATAGATTCCCGTCAAGTGGACGGGTATTTGGAGGCCATGGTAATTATAGGATCCATTTGTCAGTGGAACGTGTGATATGTCCACAGTATCTGCGTAATTGCACCCCGGAATAATTCCCCAAGATTTATTCAGAATCTGTAGCACAAGCACTAAACTGAACAATTTCGCACCCATTTGATACGGTAATCAAAACTGGACTGACTCTTGATAGCATAAGTTTCCAAATATATAGTTTTATTTTGGGAACGACGGACTTTGCAGTCGATAAGCTGACTCATTGCTCATGCTCTCCAGGGATCATAGGCACGACAATTGGCATTTTAAGACATTTATAATTACAAAAATAATTTTGAAGTTGTAAGATAACAAAATGACGTCAACAATTGCTTTTGATTGTTATAAGTCCAAGTAGTTTTACCGAAGGAATATGAGAATTGAAGCTGAACGCTAATAAAGTAATTGACAAAAGTTTGTTTAAAAAAAAAAAACTTTTCTACTGCCTCGTAGTGTAGGGTCATTCATAATATAGTTCTTTTATGGATAGGTATTGAAGCATTTGATTTATCAAAGTTCTGAATTATTACAGCTTTCAGACTTTTACTAGCACTGCCAGCCATCCGGAGTTTTCTTTCTATCTTTAATTTATGCCAATTAATTGCTTATGCAATAACAACAGCCATTTCCAGCAGAGGCCAATGTCAGCTGAATATTTTAATGCCAACACCCTTCGCTTGCATATAAATGCTGGGTAAAAAAAAAAGTTAGCTTACTTCGTATTGGCTGCCTACGCAGTGCTGTAACGCGAAATTTGCAATTTCTGCATTAAATCAACAGGGCGGATGGGTGTTTTCCAGGCAGCCAGAAGGAAAAGTGGGAAACGTAGGAAAACCCGGTAGAAACGAGACATTTGCTGCGTTGCTGGCGTGACATTTGTTTGGTTTTAATTTCGGTTCAAAGGTTGCCATGGCTCCCAGACTCCCCATTCCCCCCTTTCCCTCGCCGTGTCCCACCCTGCGGCCAATGAAGTATTCAGGGTGGACCAAAACACTTGCTGTCGTCGCAACTGGTAAACGCAAAATTGAAATATTGCATGAATTGCAGGAATGCACTAAGCCATGAAGTAACTACCGGGCCCGACTTACCATCTCCCAGTGGAAATGGGCATGGCCAACACACGACGTGGTGCAACTATTTAATAAACATCAGCAGGAGGCGGAGAGTTCTCCGCCCGCCCCCTAAACTCACTTTGGCTGCGGTTGGAGGGGCTTTTGATGTCTCGCTCGGGTGCATTTAATAAGCTGCCGGAACGCCAAGGGAGGAGCAGAAACAGGTCCTTTGACTCCAAGTCAATGAGGCTGCCTTGGGGCCTTCTATAAACAGAGGGCACAGAACCGTGAACATCGAACTTCGTGCTATATATTAACAAAAATTGTAATTTAAAACTAAAGGATTTTTATTTGTCATTTTCAACTACTCTATTGGTTCAATCAATTCATTTTCTTCAATTTGAAAATCGTATTTCTTCACACAACACACTTTTTTATCGTCACAGTATCCTACAGGCCTTATGATATAGCATTCTTTGGCCTCTAGGCAAGTGGCTAGAAGTGAAGATCGGGTTTGATTTATATTGGTTTCCGCACAACCTAAAAATTAAAATGTTTCTATTTATTTCCAAGACGCATAAAAGTGTTTAAACTTACGCAGAGGCTTGTATTGACGTTCCTGTAACAAGCAGCCCCTAAATGTCAAAAGTAAACAAAAAAGAACAGCCTGGACGATCATTGTGAAGTAACTAAATCAAGATATGGAATACTTGCTGAATAATTGGATATTTAAATAAGGCAAGCGGTGAAAATTGGTTTGCTCTAGTTGAATATGCCAACTTATGTAAGGCTTTTGCTCTGTGCTCCATAATTTATATGCCCTTTCGATTGGTTATGCAATCTATTGGATTCCTGTTCAGTTTACTTTGTGCGGCAAGTGCGAGTGGAATACAAAAGAAAACTGTTTTGTGTTTGCGAATGCTGGTAAAGAAAGACAGAGCCCACTGCCAACTGCTGCAACCACCTAATGCCGGTCCTTTTGGATTTTCTGACTGCTCTGGCTAGCTGCCAGCTGCTTGTTTGGTTGGGTGGGAATCCACAGTAAGCCAGGACCGAACAGGACCGACCAGGAACTGCAAGGAAGTGACGAAACGAAGGCATCTGGAGCAGCAGCAAAAACCCAAAACTATTTGCACTCAACAGCGGCAACAAATGTTGCTGCGGTGTTGCCTTGTGCTACTTACGGCTGCCATTTGATGGCGATGTCGATGTCGATGTCGATGTTTTTGGCCCGACATCCTCGCCGGAATCCTGGAGTACTACTCACCGAACCGAGCCGAGCAAATATGGAGGCGCCTGGTGATGTGTTTACAAGTTTGTGAATTGTTGTCATTGTCGTCATCTGGCCGGGCTTCAACTGGCTGTCGCACCACACTTCGCCCTCCCAATCTTGGCCAGCACTGGGTCTTAGTCTCAGCCCGCTTTTCATTACCAATACCAGACCCCCTCCCCTGGCCCCAATGCAAACATCAATCAAGCTGCATTATGCAAATATTCGCTCGAAAATTGCAACAAAAGCGCATCGAGCGGGCGGCAGTAAGAAACGACAAATGGTAAAAAGGAAATGGGTGTGGATTTTGGGGGGCCAGAGATTGGAGAGCAGCCTGTCAGACGTCAAAAAGCAGTTGCTATCCGTTTCACCGCCTCTCATATACCATCATCCATCGCTGCTGTCAGTTGCATTGCTAAGACAACAAGAAAGGAGGTTCATCAGTTACACTGAAGAAAAATAATTCCTGCTAAACTAAAAAAAACTAATTAATAAAAATTATTTAGATTCTAATTTATATTCATGGCCGCCAAAAACCAGTGCAAAATATATATATTTTGATAATACCAAATTACAATTTATTTTTACAAAAATTATACAAAATTATATTTTTATCTTAAAAAATAAAAGAGTTCAAATTTTTAGAAAACCAGAGAATTATTGTCAGCAAAATATAAACCACGTTAAATTTTAATTTTGAGAATTCAGTTTACTGCATTTAACTATTACACTTTTACCGATAGTGTACACTTTCTAAGTATACAAAAAATAAAGAAACAGGAGAACGCCAAGCCAAGACAGCTGCCAATAGTTCGACTCGGCGGGATTCGTTTCCAGGGATTCTCCTGGTCGCCATTCGCCTGAATTAAACGATAACGAGTTTTGGCTTTCACCGCTTCATTTTGAACCTAAAAGCATGTGAAGGGTTGCTGCCTGCCAGCGCCAGAAAAGCTAAGAGCCAAGAGCGAAGAACTGAAGAGCTGAAGAACCAAAGGGCCAAAAGCCGGCTTTTGTTTATGCGTAAAGTTTTGCGGCTATGGAGGAGTAGAAACGGGAGCTCGAAATATATGAGGATTGCATTCGGGGGCAGGGCGAAATTAAAACGTCTGCAGCAATTTATAACAACACTTTAAAGGGCAGCTCTATAGGGGTCTTGCCCCCGTCGATCCCGCACATATATGTATGTACAGTATTGAAGTGCCATACAGCGAATTCATATTCCCGAATTCCATTTCATTTCCCTTGCAAACTTTCTGTGGGAGTGGAGTTCCAACTTTTTCGCTGCTGACAATAAACAATGGCGGGGCGAAAAAGGAAAACAGAAATCTTTCAGGACTTCGAGACGGGGGCGTTTTTGGAGCAGGGGGCGTGGCTGATCTCGCCTGCAGTTTGTTTAGTTGGCAACACTTTGTCGGAAACTTTGCATAAACTTTGCTTTGGCCTTATTTTTTTTGGAAAAATCCTCGAAGGAAAACTTTGCAAATTACTTTTACGATTTCCGAACAAAATGCAAAACATACAAGAGCAAAAATTGCCGTGTGCCGTTAATTGCAAGCAATTTGGGATGCATTAAAAGTTAATACCAAGTCTAAGTGCGGAAAATTCTCAGCTTAAATGCAAGGCCGTCGAAATAAGCGATTTAATAGTTTTCCCCCCCCAAAAGTTTCCAAATGACGAAACCCTGTTTGAAATTAACATGCAACTTTGATGCTAAAACAACTACACTTTACTCCACCCCAGGGCCCACGCCCACCTTTGCATAATCCTTCAGCTGTTAAGTTGTTCTGCTGGGGGAAATAAACAATTTAATTAGGCGGTGCGGTGCGGCCATGTGTCTGCAAGTGAAATCAAATATGCGTAAACATCGGCTACAAGATTGGGCCAGCAGCACCTCCTGCAGCCCGATAACTCAGGTCCCCACCCACGAATCCATATCTAAACACGAGGCAGGCATGCGTAATTAAATTTACATGAATTTGATATTGAGCACACAATACACACACACACACACACACACACAAACACACACACACACACACATGGGCGAATTGCGCGGTCTGCAATTACCATTGCCTACTTGCGAGCGCAAAAAGCAGGAAGCTCAAATTTCTATTGCCTGCTTTTGAGTGCAAGGCTTGGAATAGAATTCTAGCATTTGAGTGCCTACAGTAGAGGTCACCAGAATAGCAATGCGAATTCCTAAGCATGTGTTCAGAAGAACACAAATAATCATAAGTATAAGACTTTATGAGCTCTGTGCATTTCATGTCAATCGATCAAGAGCCATAATTTATGATCTGATAATATAACGACTTTAATTCAGAACTCAACTTTTAATTTTTCTACGCAAATGAAATGCAATGCAAAATATTTTAATAAAATAATATATGTCGGCAACAAAGTATTTTAATGTTGTAGTAAGCAATTTTTTTGGTCGCCACTATTTTGACCCTAGCTATGACTCACAAGTACGTTTGAAAGTGAGACAACGTACTGATACAAATGAACTGTTGCGAAAGTTCATTGCGAGGGGAAAAGTTTTGGCATTGTGTGATTCGCTGCCTTTCCCCCCTAATTGGCTGTGACCCCACCCCCCGCCCCCTTGTCGAGCCCAATGAATCTCTAATTTGGCGCATTTCAGAGTTCATAATAATTAAAATTACGCGCTGTCTGCAATGTTGTTTGTCCCCGCTGTTGTTGTGCTTGTTATATGTATTATTTATGGCTTGCGAAACTTTGTCCTTGCGACTTTTGCCTTTGACTTGATGCCAACTTTTCGGTTTTCGTTCGTGGCATTCATCAACTTTTTGCGTAAACGTCACCGAATCAGACAGGCAGACAGAGGGATAGGGATGGGGTTATAAATAGAAATATAAGTCCCTGCTTTTGTCACATTCCGTTTCGCAAATCTGTTTATGAAAAGCGTTTAATTTATGTGAATAATTGCACTCTTTGGTGGAAGCTGATTGAAAAACTTATATGTAGCAGCCAGCTGTTGGAAATGCTGTTGGAAATTCTGTTTGACAAGCATACGAAAACAAAAGCGGCGTTTTGTTATTATTTTTGTTATTATTATTCCAGCTCTTGACAATGTCAACAATTTTGCGCTTTTATCTGTTTGCACAGCAGACAGGCTCCCGCTTCCCTCTTCCATTCCCCCTTTCCACCGATTCAGTGTGTGTTTAACATAAAGCGATTAATTGCTTTTCATTAAACGCTGCTCGTATTCCCCATCGCATTTGCCCACACTGCCATTTGCCAGCTGCGCTTATTTAACTTTTAATTTGAAGTCACGCGGAGGCAATTTCCAAATGTGTTTACCTTGGGAAAACGACTTATGCCAGAAAGTTCAGAAAACTCTTAAGCAAGTCTAAAACAAATGGAGATAAAGTGGGAAGATAGAAAACCAAAACCACATTATGTATTATAGTAGTTCAGTTTTCGAGGAGGGTTTTGAACGATATTTAATTTTACTTAAAACTTTAAATAAGCGGTATGTTAAGCAAAAAACCATTCCTTAATTAAATATAATAGATTTAATATTTGACTAGCTATTAAGGGAATCGAAAATAATTATGTGTCTTAACAATTACATTAACAATTTAATTAGTTTAAAAATTACGTTGTTCGTAGCTCAATTTATAACTAAGTATTTAAATTTATAACTAATTATTTGTAATGTTTTGTAACTGCTTGTAATATAATTTGTAAACATTCTTATTTTGTAGATAATTATATAAAAGCTTTTATTTTGCTCATGAAAATGAGATGGAATTTGGTCCATTTTATTTGCTAATTTAAATTTTTACAGGAAAGCATATTATATTTAATGTATGAATTAAAATTTCACATTTAAATTAAAAAAAAATGTCGGATCAACATATGACACAAGACAAAACTGCAAATACACAATAATCATAGCAAAGTAAACTGGAAAGTAAACTTTTTTCATGTACAAAAAGAAATTTTAAATTTGCACCCATCTAAAAATTTTCTGGTACAACATTGCCATCAATAATTTTCGTAAATGTGCTTACATTTTGTGGAGCTCCTTGTAAAATGGCCGTTAAGCAGTCTGTGTGAAAAATATTATTCTAAGCCAGACAGACAGGTGAGCAAACAGTCATTCATCTGGCAAATATATGCCGCCAAGGCAACGCCCAGTTTACAGTTCAAAGGTGGCTGGAGGTCAAGGCCGGGCCTACACAAGCGAATTGGAGGCAATCCTCGGCTAGACGAGACAACAAACAGCTGGCTATGTAATTGGCGTGGGCTTAACTGCAGGGCAATCAACCAGCCGAGCATCCCTGGCCTGGCCAATATACCATTACCAATATAAGCGATATATCATCTTATTTCAGCTGTCTGCTTACCAATCGCCTTTTTATGGTCAGGCAAAGACCCATCAAAACCAATAGAAACTTTACAACTTGCAGACATCTTTTGGGTCGCAGACAAGAATTTTGAACTCGACTTGACTTCATTGATGGCCAGGCCAGTATGTTCGTGTATGTAAGTTGGTGTTTGCATACGATGTGGAACATTGGCCCTAAGCTCTATTGCACATTGACCATCCGATTGAGTTTGAGTTTGGGGACAGAAGACAGTGGACAGTGGACAGAGGGCAGTGGAACAGCATTGAAATCGAGCAAACTCTTGGCCTGAAGTTTCCCAAAAGCATTTCCTTGTCACCATCGAACTTTTCGTCCCGTTGTGTATGGGTTTTCGCCTGCATTCCGCCAAAAGGACCAGCCTTAGCCTTGGCCCCCCCAACAAGCCATGGCTAACAGAGTTCTGTTAGCGACCACGTGTTTTCCTGCAAGTTGGCGATTCTGCGCAGTGCTGCCTCTGGCTCTCAGAAGTCTGTTCCCAGTATTTGGCCACGGTGCGTATGATTGATAAACCAAAATAAATATTTGCCAGCCTCCGCGATGCATAAAGTGCCCCAGAACTCAGGGAAAGCTGCGAGGCGTTGTACTTGGGAATGGGTCTCGGTGGCTTTTTTAGGCGTTGGTCGCACGTTCTTGAGGGGCTGTGACCCGTGGGGGAGGAGTGTAGGGGTTGGTGCTGTTTGTGGGTTTCACCAAACATCTGTGCTATGGCCACAAATATACACACACAATACAGACTGACAGCAGTGACCTTGAGGAGGCTTTTGCATTGCCAGTGAAACAGGAGAGCGCGTGGCTCAGTGTGTTTGTGAGCGTCACGTGTAAGCAGTTTGGCTTATATATACATACATATATATATAAATATATATATAGTAAGTACTTTTATTGTGGGCGAGCATTGGCCCCCCTGGAGTTGTAAAAACTAATGGAAATTTAATTTCTGTTTGGGGTGGCATTAGCATTTTCCGTGTAGTTGCCATGATTATTATGCTTATTATTTGGAGGGCTTTGTGGGCGCCACAGAGTTCCTCAGTCGCAGGTGTCGATTAAAACTGATTAACTGAAATACAACGGCTGTCGTGCCAATTGTGGCTTTCTCCTGTTTCCCACATACCTTCCCCACAGCCCCTCCCCCGCCCTTCTCCACCCCACTTTGCCAACTGCCAATGCATCGAATTACAATTTAATTGTCGAGACAGCACCCACAGGATGTCTGCTGGATTTGCAACTGTCAAAGTGACAAACATGGGGCACTGCCTCCGCATCCGCCCCAACCACCCCAACCGCCCCAACCAGCCATTCATCCACTTATTTATGCCTTTTGAGCATTTGTTGTGCACTCGGAGTTCTCCGGTTCAAGTCATGTGCAGGAGCAGCCACACACATAAATTGCTTTTGACATGCTCCGTTGACTTTTATGAGCGAGGATTGTCTTTGGCCCTCCTCCTAATTAGAGTCATGTCCTGCGGAGTGAGACGAGGTGGGGCATCAGTTCGAGCTCCACTCCTCCATTTAACAAGCAGCAACAGTAGCAGCCATGTCTGTGGCAGACTCCGAACTGCAACCGCAAAAGGAAAACTTTGCGAAATAGAAATGTTGCAAAATATTTTGAAGTAGATTCCTCTCGCTTCCATTTTCCATTTTCCTTTCTTCATTTTTCCATTTCCCCGCTTTCTGGCTGAAACAACTTTTTGTTTCGTTCAGGTTAAATGCGCGCGAATTGTTTTTTGGCCAGCTAAACTTTGTGATTTAACTTTTGAATAACCGCCAACAGGGGAACGGGCATTGGGGAAAGGAAAAAAGGAGAGAGAGAGTGTGCCAAATATTTAAGTGAAATTCTTTTTCAGCTGACTCAGCAGACAAAGGATCCTTGGCAGTGTGCTGTCGACTAGTTTGTCATTTGCGAGCGCACTTAACGACCAAATGCTAGTCAGCATCCTGGAGCTGCTGTCCCTGAAAATTGGGATACATTTAATGCTGTTCCTAACCTTTTTATGCAAATTACTATCCACTTCCGGGTTAACTCTTAGCCCTCTCTCTCTTTTTTAAGCCACATTTGTGGCTAGAAGGGCAAACATGGATTCTGCTGCGGTCTCCGCTTTTTGTTCAACTTGCTAATCAACCTGTTTGCTTAGGCCTCAGGACTTTGTCCAGAACCTGGGTTAATGGCCAGGCGATTTTTTAATTAAAGCACACATGTGGCGTATACGTAATGCGGGCCAGATCAACCGCAGCGTAAATTAAAAAATATTTAAAATTCTTTTTGTTCATGTTTCTATTCGAAGAACCTATTTTTTCCCCAGTTTGCATACAAATTTCTTTTTACTTGCTTATATGCATCTCGAAAGTTTAGTTTTTCCGGTTTATCCAAGCTGCTTTGCAGGACATGTTATAAAATATATAAATTTGAAAACCAAGGAAACGAGAGTGTCCAGCTAGGAAAGTTAAGGGGCCAAGGCGAATCCTGGTTGACCGGCAATTTATTGCAATCCCGTCAAAACTCATTTGAATGGCCGCCGTCCCATCCGCAGTTGCCGCCCATAAATCAGATGCTGCACTGCAGCTGATAATGCCGAAAGTGTGGTGGTAAGTAAGTTGGGAGCCGGGCGAGAGTTAAGCTCCACTGTGGGCAAGCTGCTCAATTGAATTGGCCGCCGACTTCCGGCCAAGCTACACGCTCCAGAGGAGCGCTGCTCGCCTTTTGGTTACCACTTTCTGGGTCAAAGGCAAATGGGTCAGACGTGGAGGAGCCCACAATGGCCATATAAATCACGGCGAAAGTTGCCGAAAATGAAAAGTGAAATTGGTTTAAATTTTATTTAAGCGCATCCAGTGGGAGAGTTAAAACAAAACAAATTTAAAGAGTATTTAATGCTTGGAAAATGCTGCTTATAAATATTTAAAATTTGGTTTAAGATATCTTTAACAGGAAAGCACAATTCTGATATTATAAAACTCAAACCAACTGGTTGGCTTAAACATTCAGATTATACTGCTACTATTATAAACGAATTCCATTTGTGGGCTCTAAGGTCATTTTATTGTCAAGAATGACGTTCTATTTGTTTTAAGTTTTTTTGCTTTACTTCAACATCTTCTAAATTGTATGTATTCTATCAGATGTATACGACAGTTTTGTGTGTTTTGTACGACAGTTAACGTGTACAAACTTAGCTTAAATATTATAATTAAAAACTCTTTACATTAAAAAAGTATAAAAAGGTTTATATCCGTTACTTTTTAGAGAAATAAATACAAGTATCAAAAATTAATGCAAGTAAAAATGTATTAGAACTTGCTCAATTATGCCCCCTTAAAATGTTTTAGAAAAAAACTAAAAGTGCTTTGCTAAAAAAAGTGATGAATGACAGAAGCAACACCCGCTACAAACTGCATGATTAATGGTTTAAAAGTTCAGAAGTAGTTTTCTGGTGGGTTGCAAGCTCAAGATCAAGATCATCGCCGTTCTATGCCGTGACTGCAACATGACTTGACTATATCCAAGCCAGTGACTATATAAACTGGGCTTTGGCTGGTCTAAAAGCATCAGTTTCTTAGAAGTCACTTCCAGTTACAGATATCCAGTTCATCATGCGCTTCACTCTGCTCGCTGTCTTCCTCTTCGGAGTGATCTTTGCCATCGTGTCCGCTGGTGGAAACGGAGGTGGAGGTGGTGGAGGCTGGCAGAAGAATGGAGGAGGAGGTGGTGGCCAAGGAGGCTGGCAGCAGAATGGAGGAGGTGGCCAGAAGCATGGAGGCGGCGGTGGCCAAGGAGGCTGGCAGAAGGGCGGCGGAGGAGGCAGTGGTGGTGGCAAGCACGGTGGCGGCGGTGGAGGCGGTGGCAAGCACGGTGGCGGCGGTGGTGGCAAACACGGTGGCGGCTGGTAAATCCTCTGAAGATCCTCAAATGAACTACTGAAAATACTCCAACGACTCCCCAAGATCTGATGCAGCATGCCACTTAAATTTCTTCAGCCATGCTGTTCTCCTAACATGTCACTTATCCATATTTAATTGTTTTTATATAGAAATATCAATTCTTTCTTTGTTTAATTAAACTATTTTCTTGCAAATTAAAAATACTTATTTTTACTGGGACCTCCAATATCTTTTCAGATATTTTAAAAGTTATACAAGTTTTGAGAATGATCTATTTAAAATCTACATAAAATAAAAATTTTTTTTGTTTTTAAAAAGCAGTGAATTCAAATATGATTACATAGTTTTTAAACAGCCAAAACACAAATGTTTTTGTAAGAAGTTTTCATTTAAATCTTAACAAATCAGCCTAATTTATAATATTTCAAATAATGCTTTACATTTTTATGAAGTTTATAAAGTTCACTTGCTAAAAATGGTTCCATTATCATGATCAAAAAACAAAAACCAATCAGCTACTGATAATGAAAAAGAAAAGAGCTACTTTCAACTCATCAAAAAAGCTGCAAAACAAATTAAATGTTTATTTAAGTACTCCCAACTATGACTTCCTGCTGCATGTAAAAACCATTATTTAGACTTTGCTGACCACTCACGAGAACCTGCATAAAGCTGCACAAATTGACTTGTTTATGCGATAATTTCGTGGAGAAACTCTAACAATTCGATTATTTAGTGATTTCCAAGGATTTCTAAAGACTGTCAGGGGACAAGCTGAAAGGAGGAGGGGGGCAAAAAACACTAAAAGGGGATGGCCTGGGCAGCTCACAGCTGTTTGAAGCTTCACATGCCTCGGAAAATAAAACAAGATTTATTTAGTTGGCCCGGCATTAACTGTTGCCTTTTTGTTATGGCCAAGATGCCCCTTCCTATAACGACTTTGTATGCATGTGTGTGTGTGTGTGTGTGCCGAAGGAGCCAACACATAAAACTCAGATGGGTTTTCTTTTCATTAAAAGCGGATTTACGCACACACAAAGTGGAGAAAGGTGGAGAAGGACGAAGAAGTGAGAGCAGCTTATTGCACAATAAACACGAACCCAACGCCAACACCACACATGCACACAAATTATGAGGCCGGCCCTGCGAAGAAAAGTCTCCTCGGTGTTCAGATGCTGACTCAGCTCCGAGAAGTTTCCCTTCCTCAGCACTGCAAAAAAACCGAAATTGTTCAGCAACAATGTATTTTATTATTTATTATAGCTCTCCGTGTTCAAGAGTTTATATTGTGTTGTTTGTTTGGCGGTTTTATGATCTATTCAGAAAATAAAATAGAATTTTCTTAAACTTAATTGTTTAGTTACATATTTATACAAATTTAAATTTAATTTAAAGACACTCACATTTTTTTGTATGGTAACATTTTGTAAAAGTGTATAATACGTTTTTCACCTGTTTTTATGGCTAGAAGTATTTTTTTGTGCATTTCCCCCTACAAAAATTTAAAGTTAATTGGTACAATTTGTCATGGAAGAATGTTATAATATACTCTTTTCACTGAAAGACAGCCTTAAACGTTAAATAAAAAAGTTTTGTTAAATTTAATTTTTTTGAATGGTGAACTAAACATATTTCAGAAAATCTTTGCTATACATTGAATCTTTTTTTAATCTTTTAAAGTGTAAACAGTAGTCAAATAAATAACTGGAATTCAATTTAAAGATTTTTTGTATAGTTTTTTTTTTGGGAATGAATAGCTTGTGATAAAATTATTGACCATTTCTCTTTGTGTAAAAAAACCAAGGCGATAACGAATACTCAAAGGCAAAGGATATGTAATGCGAGGGCCTTTGTGTGCGTGTGCCAGTCGTCAACTGGTCAATGTTGTGTAAGGATGCTCTCTGGCCGGGGTACAGATCTCAGTCAGATCCAGGAGTCCTCTACAAGAAATTTGTAAATCACCGAAACACCGGACTAGAGAGTATCATTCATCGAGTGAATGAGTCGTTTGGGGAGTCACACCGAAGGTTCTCATAGACGCCAGGAGAGAGAGAGTTGGTGTCGGAGTTGGTCACGCCGTACCTTGCTCCTGGGTTAAAAATTCCACGGGCTGGACCTTAGGGCGAGGCCAAGCCAGGCGAACAGTTTTCGCGCGTATGGGGACGCCGGGTGGTCCCGCTGATCACTTCTGCGATTGGGACACGTAAGTCGCTTTCCGCGTGTCGCAGGCCAAAAATTCACCGGGCTGGACCTTGGGGCGAGGCCAAGCCAGACGAACAGTTTCGCGAGTATGGGGATGCCGGGTAGTCCCGCTGATCACTTCCGCGATTGGGACACGTAAGTCGCTTTCCGCGTGTCGCAGGCCGAAAATTCACCGGGCTGGACCTTGGGGCGAGGCCAAGCCAGACGAACGGTTTCGCGAGTATTGGGATGCCGGGTAGTCCCGCTGATCACTTCCGCGATTGGGACACGTAAGTCGCTTTCCGCGTGTCGCAGGCCAAAAATTCACCGGGCTGGACCTTGGGGCGAGGCCAAGCCAGACGAACGGTTTCGCGAGTATGGGGATGCCGGGTGGGGTTGCGTCGCGCGCAAATCGTTCTCGATGCATCGGATGCCAAAAATCCACCGGGCTGGACCTTCGGGCGAGGCCAAGCCGGATAGGATTTGTCGGACACGAGGGGGGATTGGAGGAGAAAGGATGGCGGTACGATTGACCAGTCGGGAATGATGTCCGCGCGCAGGTCACATGCACTATGAAGAGGAAAGCTATTGTACTAGACCAGACGGGCCGGGTGTCCACGTGCCGGTCGCATGCGCTACGAGGAGGAAAACTAGGGTACCAGACCAGACGGGCCGGGTGTCCACGTACGGGTCACATGCACTACGAGGAGGGGGATCTAAGGTACTAGACCGAACGGGATGGGTGTCCACGTCGGGTCTCAAATGCTACGATATGGGGAACCAAGATACTGGACCAGACGGGCCGGGTGTCCACGTACAGGTCCCAAATACTACGGGGAGTGAGGTTAAGATACTGGACCGGACGGGACGGATGTCCACGTACAGGCCCCATGCACTACGAGGGAGGGGGGAATCTAAGATACTAGACCGAACGGGATGGGTGTCCACGTCGGGTCTCAAATGCTACGATGTGGGGAACCAAGATACTGGACCAGACGGGCCGGGTGTCCACGTACAGGTCCCAAATACTACGGGGAGTGAGGTTAGAATACCAGACCGGACGGGACGGATGTCCACGTACAGGTCACATGCACTACGAGGAAGGGAGCTAGGCTACTATAAATAAAAAGAATCACGATCATGGAATTTACTTTGTTTTATTATTATATTTTTATTATTATTATTATTATCTTTCCATTTATCTACTGTCTTCCTATGAGTCCGCTACACCGTCTTTGCCTGACGGATAGGAATTTTGCATACACTAACCTCAAACACACTCACTAGTTCACTTCTTCATTAACCGCGTGCCTTCGCGCGGTCGAGGCGTTACTCGAATTATCCGTCAAGCGAGTTAAGGGAGGCGCGTCCGCTCCGTTCTACTTTTCCGGCACGAGAGACCGCCTGCTCGATCGGTGTGAGACCACCTACCCCACGTTCCCTTTTTCCCACTTTCGGGATTTCTAGCATATTCCTTAATTTCTAGTATTTTTCCTTACCCACTAAAATCTGCTGGCGTTGCCACTCGGGTTCGGAACTTAGCTTAATATCCAGTTTCAACTTAATATCTATTATTCATTATGTGTCACTTACACCTATAACTTACATACTACTAACTTAATATTTAATATTCACGATCAGTCGCTTATACCTATAACCTTACATATTACTATTCAAAAATTGTATCGTACACCTAAGTGTGTACGTTACACCCCCCCCTTTCTTCCCGTGGCGCGATAAAAAGGCGCCCGTCGTCGGTAAACTAACCTTCGAATTCCCTACGTGACGGCGTAGCTAACAAAGGTCTCGGTCTTAATCTATTACAATGGTTATACGCGGCTTATACAGTGTTTATACAATGGTTATACGGTGGTTAAACAATAAATATTAAATTTATTGCGGCTGCATGCTGCTTACTGCATCGGGTCGTTCGATCCGACAATACTATCGTCGATCCTATCCGGAGGGGCTTCTGCGTAGTACGGTTTGAGCTGGGATATGTTAGCGATGCGTCGCCGTCGATCTCCGGGACGTTGCAGGCGTACCAAGTTCGGAGATGTGAATTTTGTAACGGTATAAGGGCCGTCATACTTGGGAGCAAGTTTGGCGGCGAATCCCTCGGCTGCTTTCGATAAGGGATGCTGACGCAGCCAAACTTGACCGCCGAGCGTGGGTCTCCATTCTCGCCTTCGTAGGTTATAGTGTCTCGCCTGGTCTTGAGACGCTCGCTGAAGATTCGCTCGTACGATGTCGAAGATGCCTTTGAGGTGAGACGCCTTGTCTTCAGGACCTGTATGCACGACCGCCGATCCGGGGGTCAGTTCATCATACAGCATCGCAGGCAAGCGTGGTTCCCGTCCTTGAGTTAGGAACGCGGGACTATACCCCGTCGAATCTGATACACTGCTATTGATCGCGAGGGATATCTCTGGCAGCATACTATCCCACGAACTCTGGTCGCCTTCCGACAGCTGGGATATCAGCGTCTTCACAGTGCGGTTGGTCCTTTCTGTGGGATTCTCTTGTGGACAATATGGAGCCGTGTACTGGACTTCTACGCCGAGCTGGGTGAAGTAGTCTTTCAGGACCCGGCTTGTGAACTGGGTTCCATTGTCGCACACGAACTTCCGGGGAATGCCCACTCGTGCAAGTATACGTTCCCGAAACGCTTTCTGCACTTGAGCTGCGGTGGCTTTCCGGAGTGGTATCAGTTCTACCCATTTCGAAAATACATCGTGGAACACCAGAAGCATGGTATTTCCTTGTTTTGACCGGGGTAGCGGGCCTACAAAATCCGCGCAGAGAATGTCGAAAGGTTCGCTGACGACCCGGGTTAGCATCTTACCTGCCGCTTTAGTTTGTTCCGTCTTAAACTTTTGACAAGATTCACAATGGCGAACATGGCGTTTCGCGTCGCGATACATACCGGGCCAGAAATACCTCTGGGTCAGACGCGTAATTGTTTTTCGGACTCCCAAGTGTCCTGCGGTCGGGGAATCGTGACATTCACGTAAGACGCG